GACTTTTGACGAAGCTGGTTTCCCCAGATATGTCATGGATGAGGTCAAGGCTCAAGGCTTTCCTGCTCCGACCGCCATTCAATCCCAGGGTTGGCCTATGGCTCTTTCTGGTCGCGATGTCGTCGGTATTGCCGAGACAGGCTCCGGAAAGACGCTTACGTATTGTCTCCCTGCTATTGTCCACATCAATGCCCAGCCCTTGCTCGCGCCCGGCGATGGCCCTATCGTCCTTGTGCTGGCTCCTACAAGAGAGTTAGCCGTTCAGATTCAACAGGAAATCACCAAATTCGGTAAATCGTCCCGAATTCGTAACACGTGTGTTTACGGAGGTGTTCCTCGTGGCCCTCAAATCCGAGACCTGTCAAAGGGAGTCGAGGTCTGCATCGCCACCCCCGGACGTCTGATCGACATGCTCGAAGGTGGCAAGACGAATCTTCGCCGTGTCACATACTTGGTTCTCGATGAGGCCGATCGTATGCTTGATATGGGTTTCGAACCACAGATTCGAAAAATTATCAGCCAGATCCGACCGGACCGCCAGACACTCATGTGGTCTGCTACCTGGCCTAAGGAGGTTCGAGCTCTGGCTTCCGAGTTCCAGACCAACTTCATTCAAGTCAATATTGGTTCGATGGATCTTTCTGCAAATCATCGCATCACCCAAGTTGTCGAAGTAGTTTCTGAGGGAGAGAAGCGTGATCGCATGATCAAGCACTTGGAAAAGATTATGGACAACAAGGAGAATAAGTGCCTTCTTTTCGTTGGCACGAAACGTGTTGCCGATGAGATTACGAGATTCCTGCGCCAGGATGGTTGGCCGGCGCTCTGTACGTTCAAGCTCTGCGATGAAGCTTTTCTCGTCACTAACATGTTTGTAGCAATTCACGGCGACAAGCAGCAGAACGAGCGTGATTGGGTTCTTGATCAGTTCAAGACCAACAAGAGTCCCATCATGGTTGCCACCGATGTGGCTTCTCGTGGTATTGGTATGGTTAAAGCTTCCCCCAACCCCCTCCCCTCCCCTCCCCACAACTTCCAGCAGAGTTATCTCCGATGTGCTTGACTGTGATGTCTAGGGGCTCTCTTGATTGCGCACATATGTCTGGCCTAATCGAGTCTCGTGGTTCTTCTTGCCCTCCCGGATGATCGGGATCTATGGTATGGCCCTTTGGGCCGTGTCGATGTTTCGCCTTGTACCTGATTTTCCGTGGTACAAGAAGGCGAAGTGGAGCAGTACTTGATTTATCAAGCTGTCCCCGAGATTCCCGGATCCCGAGGACCCGGACTGGACTATTGGGATCAATTTCCAGATTGGCAGTGTTGATGCAACAGACAGCCCCACAGCTTCATTCTCGATGGAGAACGCACGGAACAATATGCTTATGGCACTACGTCCGCCGCTGGGACTTGCTTCGTGGCAACTCTTTTTCTTAAGCTAACCTTTGGTGATAAAGATGTACGGAACATCACTCACGTGATCAACTATGACTATCCGAACAACTCGGAAGACTATATTCATCGTATCGGTCGTACTGGTCGTGCTGGTGCCAAGGGTACTGCCATCACGTTCTTTACTACTGACAGTATGTGCCATCTCCCTATCCACCTTATCATGCCAGACTAACCCACGTCATCAGACTCCAAGCAGGCTCGTGATCTCGTTTCAGTTCTCCAGGAGGCAAAGCAACAAGTTGACCCAAGACTAGCCGAGATGGCGCGCTACGGTGGCGGTGGTGGCGGTGGCCGATATGGTGGTCGTGGCTATGGTCGTGGCGGCGGCGGCGGTGGCGGCCATCGTGGTGAGTTTTTGTTTTCACACGTACTATAATCAAAAGCTAATCAAGCCATTAGGTGGCGGTGGCGGTAATAGTGCTGGTGCTGGTGGTGCTAATGCTATGCCTCTCGGTAACCGACGCTGGTGATTAAACTCTGCTACAGGCGCCTCTACAATCTCACCCGGTTGACATTCCGACATTCGAGGGATCATTGGCGTCACTCTTTCCCAAAAGCACAATCGGCGTTATCTAGAAGGTTTGGCGGCTCAGACATGGTAATATCGGCTTTCCTCAAGTCGTGGATCTCTCCGCTGAGATCTGCGCGCATCACTCTTGCTTTGATTTTACTAGGAAGCATGATGATGAGGTTACTAAGAAGCACAAAGCTCCTCGAACTCGCGGCCAGACGCAGCATTCGGTGTATCTTATAGTGTCCTTTTCACTAAATAATTGGCATCCTTGCCTGTTGAGATTTGGGACATTGGCTGTGGAACTTGCTGACCAGTTTCTAGATTGGAACTCGAGCCACATATTGACTCGCAAAAGTCTCATGTCCAAGTAGATACACCCGTCCGATCTGCGCTCAATAAGAGGCAAATCGGTCCGTCTAGGTAGCATTAGAATATTTTGTGAGATTAGTTCTGCAATACGTGATATGCCTTGATACGATTGATCACTCGGTACCTAGTAGCCGACTAAGCAACACGTCGGATACCGTTGTTACTGCGACGACACGTAATACCATTTACTTTCTGCGAATTTCTGCTTTGCCGAGCCTCTGGCATCTCGGGTCGGGCTCCGGTAGGTAAGATTCTTGAGCTGGCTGCTCATGAATGGGGGCACAATCTATCCGGCCCAGCTCCATTTACCCGGTTCTCGCAACTCACATTCCGCTTGACTATGTTTCCGCCTTAGCGTTATCCGCCACTACGACGTCTCTCGGTCATACTTCCTTCTTGCTTGTTACCCATCGGCTCCTACATCCGGCTCGCATAGTTGTGTCGTTCTGGTGATGGCGTATGTGCACGCCCTAGGTCATGGAGACAATTCATGGTGAACTGTCTCCCTATTTAGTCACCATGTTGGGGGAGGCCGTCGTCCGTACAAACAGCTTATTGCATAAAGAAGAGGTTTGTGAAGCGCGAAATTTCAAGCGTCAATCGCTCGTTTTATTTCAGTTCGTGATTATCAATATCGAACATGAAGGCCACAGCAGCACTTGCGCTCCTCGTCGGGGCCACACAGGCGGCTCCTCATTGTACGTATACACATCAGACCTGAGTTGTTTGTTTGCTTGTCTTCCGAGGTATTTTTCAATGGTGTTATCTCCAACTTGTACTGGTGTCCTCGGTTGCGATTCAGTCTTGTGTTCTTTTGCGTTGGTTCTTTAGACTAATTACTTGCTATGTATCTAACTCACTCACTCCCCTGACCTGTCAAGTTAACAAATTGCTCAGATACATTCCCTAAACTCTCCGGGACGTCGGATTGGTCGTCTGTGCGCCAGGTTCGTACTCCGAACTCGCCCCTTTGAGGTTTTTATGCTCCTGTGGGAAGAGCTTCTTGCACGATCCTAGACTCTCGTGTTCAGCTGCCATCAATATTACTCGCTCACTCGCAGACTTGGGACTGATATTGACAAATAAATAGACTGCCAACTTCCAGAGCAATGGCCCCGTCACGGACGTGACGAGCGACGCGATCCGATGCTACCAGCGGGCGGCAGGCGGCGCGCCCGAAATCACTAAGATCAACGCCGGCGGGCAGATCACCTGGACCGTGGCGCCCAGCATCTACCACCCGGGCGCCCTGTCCGCGTACATGGCCAAGGTCCCCAGTGGACAGACGGCCGCGACGTGGGACGGCCAGGGTGCCGCCTGGTTCAAAGTCTTCCAGGACCTGCCGTCCGTTAGCGGCGGGCAGTACACCTGGCCTTCTAATGGTGCGTATTAAAAAAATTAAATATTTGGGGGACGTCTCCGTCTTCGTCTTCTTGGTTGGGTCGGCGATGATGATCCTGGTATTTGGACGGGATGCGAAGGAATGACGAGGGATGAATAGGAGTGGTGAGAGTGAAGGGATTATGAAAATGATGCTGATATAAACTGTCGCATAAGGAAAATCCTCGGTCAGCTTCACTGTACCGCAGTGCCTCGCCAACGGCGACTACCTGTTCCGCGTCGAGCACGTCGCCCTCCACAGGTTAGTTCCTCCATTCTTGTCCCGGTGCTTTTTAAATCCACCTCCTGGCATGATTTATGCATCTTCGTTTCACCATCGCAGCAGATAGGCAAATATGTCTTTTGCTCCTCAACAATTCGGTCTTGTGGTCCTTACTCTACGTATATATGTGTGCGGTGGCTAACACACGCTTGCCGTACTTACACACAGCGCGAGCTCGGCGAACGGCGCCCAGTTCTACATCTCGTGCGCCCAGATCACAGTCTCCGGCGGCTCGGGCTCCAAGACGCCGTCGAACCTCGTCTCTTTCCCCGGCGCCTACAAGAGCACCGACCCTGGCCTTCTCATCAACATCTACAATAATGGCGGCAAGGCCTACCAGCCTGCCGGCCCGGCTGTTTTCACTTGCTGAGGAGAAGAAGTGGGCAGTAAATAAGTAGGACGTAGCTGGGAGGGAGATATTCGCTTGCGGTCGTGAGGGTGGATGAAGAGCTTTGGGTGTCGAGATTTTGTTTATGTTACAACTACATAAGCAACCAACTGTTCTGCTTTAGCAAAGTGTACCGTAGTGTTGCAGCTCTATTCCTGGGCAATACTAGTGTCTTCACTGTCTCATCCATATTGTTCTATCTATATAGTATGCTAAAGTATCAGCACGATTCAGCACGCTGTTTATTAATACCTAGGCAACTTCTCAATATTGCTCCTACAAATTACCATTCAATGTTGATATCTGTCTATCTATACCCACCTATATTGTATTAATAATGCATAGCCTAATCCAGCAACCATGGATATTCAATTTGTGGAAGGATGATAAGGGATGGATGGTTGAATTTGGAAATAAACGAGTGTGATTTACCATAAACTAACTACATGTAGCTTGATGGCCGAGCGCTTACTTGTCTGGTTGCACAAGGGTAATTAATTAAACCCTGTCTAGGAACTACGAATCTAGGACGGACACAAATAAAAAGGACAAGGGAAATGAGAAGGAAGAAGAAAAAAACCAAACAGTTCTCCAAGGAGAAAACTGAAAGATGCCTCTCGATCGGGGAATCGAACCCCGGCCACCTGCGGCTTGTTCTTTGATAGATGCTAAATCCACGTATCGTGAAACCCGCATTACCCGACGAATGACAAGCAGGTATCCTTACCACTAGACCAATCGAGATAATATGACGATGGGATTCGTAGCCTCGTATCCCTCGCCATGACTCCAAGGGCTTGGTGGTGAGTTGTAGCTCAACTCCCATGATACTTAGTGAAGAGGGAATATTTGTGGTGACAGTGACAGACAGACAGTATATAAAGCAGGTGATTGGCATGTTTGATCTTCCCAGGCTTCAACCTCTATTGATACTACACGTAATTGGTAATACACGTATAGAACTGCCTACTTACTTGTATACCTCACGCAACCTGTGTGCGGGCTTACTGACGTGTAAATCATACCAATGCAACTTTACCCTACTAGCGAAGAAGCTGAATTCCGGGGTATTGTCTCATAGTCCCGTCAGCTAATATCCCTAGCATCATCAGCTAGCTAACATAGGAGGGACGGGTGCGCTAGTTCAGAAGCTTGACACTCTGATGGGACGTGGGATTTTCCTTCTCTGTTTCAGCTTCTATTAATCAAAAAAATTGTGGAGGGCAGACCAGATACGTTTTCATGTTTATGAGACCGGTGGATTATGTCCGGGAATCCTACAAAAGAGAGACATGGAAGGTGGGCGGCGAGAGGCCATGAGACGTCATTATGCTTGCTGTCTTCGTCATCTGCCTCGAGCTCGAGAAAATTACGCCGATAAGGACGACACGAAATGACTTTTTGTTACCAACCATGAGTCGAATAGAGTGGGACGTTGGGGCTCGTCTGGCTGGGCTCTCTACTCAGTCGCGTTTGCTGGTCCGGCAAAGGATGTAGTACGGCATTATCATGTATAGTTCGTTTACGGTAGCTAGAAGGGCCTAGGTGTGTAGGCGAGGGATTGGTGAGGTCGCGTTCCATGGCGAATCCCCGGTAATCCACGGAGATCCACGGCGGAGGCCGAACCATCGGATTTATTTTTATACAACACGATAGACTTCTACGAGCGAGATTAGAATGACACATGTACTCATAGATATGACAAGGTGGCGATAAGTTTTCATTCATCTGATCTTATACCCATGACTCAGCCTTGCCAAGACTGAGAATGCGACACGATCAATGCCTCTGGACAAGAACTTTGAATGGCCCATGTGGTGCCCGCCCTCAGGGCGTTCCTCAGTTAGAGTTCAGCATATCTGATACGGACAACATCGACAATCCGGCGGCTTTGTCGCGTCTCCGAGCCACTTGACTGTTGGTCCCAACTCGGAACATAAAATGGTCTGGGAAAGCTTCCTCTGGCCAAATATGATACGTATACAGAGTCAAATTATAGAGCATGATGGTTATGTAAACGCATACGTATGTTTGCGGTTAGGCTCTGGACGTTCAAAGTCTACCCATAAACGCTGATGGCACTGAATTGGAAATACGGCCCAAATGGGCTTCATGGAGAGCGGTGATCAGCCATCCATCACTCATTCCCTCATACAAGTAGATTCAGGCGTTTATTCAGCCGAACTTTTTGTGCGGCATCTTTAAATATTATTACCTTGAAACTCTGGAACCATTTAATCATATCCGGTGGCATAAGGGAAAAGAGAAGTGGGCTAAATATCAGATATAGAGAAATCCTATTAGGCTTTATTTTGTCACCGTAGGTAGTTTAGGCCTAAGGCTACCTACCACCGCCAACTAGGTACCAGCGCCAGATAATGCCCGCCTGTTCTGCACGCATTGGTGGTCATAATTGTTGCGAGCATTTTCTGGTGTTTGACACCACACAGTTTCACCAAAGTATTAGATATACCAATCGGAGTCTAATGATAGACATTCATGAAATTCATTAAAAAAAGCATACAACCGGAGCACCTCTAATATATACTAAAGTACCCAATGTAAATTCAAAAAATTAAAAATGTCCTTGGGCGTAAGAAAGGGACATATACATACAACAGAATTCTCAACCAACACCTAACCCAAATTTCTCAGCTCTAGAATAAGCTGCATGGCTGAGTTATCTCGAGGGAAATAATTAATAAGGAAGACTGGCCGTATGTAATTTTCGTGGTTCAGCTATTCTGCATGAATAGTGTATAGTTGCTTCTGCATTGCAAGTTGCCATTATTACCCAGTGTAAATATTTGGAGTGAATTGGAATGACCATTTTAATGGTCTGCCTCATTGCTTTTTATTGCCTTGTAGGCACATACTATTAGGCCAATATTCCTGCGCCTCAGAGCTGCAAGGCCAAATAGCAACACACATCTTCACAGGCAAGTCATAAGGACCCAATACAAACACGCGGCACCTCGAATTCAATTACATAGGACTGGAAATAAGCCAGGTGGTATGCAAGCCACTTTTGCCTCACACAGACACTCAATGGATGGATGGTCGGCTGGTCCATCTTCCCTGGCCAATGACTCTGTTTACAGCTGATGTGCGGCTGGCTGATGTGATGCCAGTATTGGCGGTGACACTGGCCAATAATCGAATAACAGACAGTACTTTGTACGGCGACTGGATTTCAATATGCCTGGCAATAGTGTCTGACGGCATATTGCAAAGAACACGGCATGGTGAAGCCTGCCTTAGTAGTAGCTACTACTGCTACTGCTAGCGACTCCGTCGATTCTATACTACCATGCGTAACGGGATCTAGGTGGTTAGTGACACGCAACCGCTCGCCATCTGAATAAAAGGCCATGCCAATCGCTACCAGATCGCCTTCTACATTAGACTGATCTACTGATCTTGTGCAAGCAGAGACACCGCTAGTGTGCTGTACACTACTACACTTTCTGGTATCGCCAACATTTTGGCGTCACGGCAGCCCATCCGAAACTAGGTACACTACGAAGTACACTCTAGTAGGAACTATAAAATGCATGCAATGACATGCTCTAAACTCAGCAATGCTATGCTTACGTCTTGCGCTCCCTCCCTACCTCGACTTTTCTAGATCACCCGGCCCACCTGGCTGACGCATCAATGATCAAAAGAAGAACAGCCCGCATATCTGGGCAAGAGACTTGGGCTCCCTCATCGAGCCAAATCCACATAGGGTTAGATGTCATAGTGATGCGGTCGGATGTGCGGAGGTCCGCGAAGGATTAGGTAGACAAGAGAATGAAAAATAAAAAATAGACTACGAAGAATAATTATAATAAGAATAATAATGAACATTCAAAACTATCAATAAAAAATGGGGACCCAACCGAGGAGCACGGGGGATCCTGGTCTCGACAAAAGCTGCTTGTCTTCTTCTAGACGAGCATTGTGGCTGGATCGCGGGTCGCGCTTTTTTTCTCGCTACACTACTTCTGCTAGAGCGTGAAGATCAAGCACGCTACTGCCGAACGCTTCGACTGAGGCGAGCAACCGACCTCATTTCCCCTTAGTGTACTTAGGTAGTCTAGACGAACTACCATGACTTGGGGTCAAGTATAGAATAGGTAAACACTGTACATATACTTACAAACTTCCCCAGGGAAACTCTTCTAAACCAACACCCCCCCCTCCCCCCCCCACTCACTGCTGCATACCTGTGTGAGGACATCGGGGGAATTTCCCAATATCGTATCTTCCTCGAGATTTGACCTCTGCCACAAGCAAAACAAAAAAAAAACCATCGAGAAAAAAATTGCAAAAAAGGAAAGCCGCTCAACGGGGATGACGGGCAACGCTGATAGGGCACCGCTATCGTTGACGTCTGTGGCGGACGGCAGCTGAAATGTGCTTTTTTTTTTCCTTTTTCTTTTCATGTCCCTCTCCTTTTGTAAAGTTATCATGGCTACTTTTTACGCAGACAGTGTGTAGATGGGGCTTTGTATCTAGGTATCTAAAGAATGGCTGGGTAGTGTGATAGAGTGAAAAAAAGGAGGGCTGGTCATGTTGTTGTGCATGGATCGCCACTGCACAAGCAGCGCAGGGGTCTCTTTGTAGATCCAGACCAGTGGGTAAGTGCTTCCCAAGCAATTCAGGGATATGGATAAGAATTACATTTGCCCAGAGCATCATCGTGCAATGTCGTGTCGGCATTGGCGGAGGCTGGTAGATGACGGGGGCAAGACTTAGGTATACCTTCAAAATTGTGCCGAGTCTGTCCGGGGAAAACGGTGGCCTCCTCTCCATATGAGCTACGGGTAAGAAGTACAGCGCGCTCTTCAATTACGATGGGATGCGGTGAGGGAGAACAGCCCGAACCCAATGAAGTGTGACCGCGAGCGCGAGTTGGCGGAGAAAGAAGAGCTGAAGATACCTGACACTCATGCGTACTGCATGGTATTCCACGGACTTGGTTCGGGGGACTAGGTAGGTCTGCTGCTTGGCAATTTGATCCCGTAACTATTAGTAAATCTGTCTATTGGCGAAGGCATGTCATGGGCCATTCCTACATACCTAATTGTGGTAACGTTAGCCTCTCTGAGGATGTCACGACTCGTGTGTTTCGATGGGCCTCGAAACAACCGAGAGACAACTGATAAGGCTTAGATAATCAAGTCACAGAAGAGAACCGGCCGAGGGAATGATGGAACGCCGAATTATGGGGGTCGCATGGTTTCTGACTAAGACGAAATAAGGCCCGGCATCGAGACATGACTCGACGTTCCTTTTTCCCTGATATTGTTCCAACAAGGTGAGTAAGTTGCAGTACGTAATGTAGGTATAGACCTATCTGTACCGGGAACAGGCCAGACAGTAGGTAGTCTACATATGCATGTAACGTAATAGGCTCGTCTACCCAACGAATGAGGTGTTGATATATAGACTCTTGGAACTCGAGAGACCCCATTTATGTGGTACCTTAGCGAACCCTTATTCGGTATTTCCAGACTGGAAGGAATATACCGTCCAGCGCCCTTGGCGAGGACCAACCACCTACCTGTTTATAAATCGTGGGTACGGTATCACATTGCCTCGATACGTCACTAACTAGGTAATTCATATTCTCATCCAACAACCTGTACGGCGAGATCGAAGAAGCAAGGGTCTTCTTGTCGACGAAGGTAGCTGGCGGGCATCTAGGTATAGGTACACATTTCCCAAAGCAGAGGTTCTGGAGGATGCACTCCATT